TGCTCAGCAACATTACGGATATAAGTTCATTACATTATCTTAGGAAAGTTGGGTTGAAGTTGGTGAGGCACATACGATGCTCGACGAGCGTACATCTGTCCGTGTGATGTTGTGGTGAGTTATATCTTTTACATGTTGTCGGTTTATGTCCATTTTATTCCACTTATTGTGTTGGGTAGAAGTTTTATGATCGACATTTTTTGTCTGTTTGAGGGTAAGTATCTTAATCGTCAATGTTTTATCTAAAATTATAAATATAGGCAAAATGCAACAGGTGTGGTATTTAAGCTCTCAGATAGAAACTAGGACTACTATCGTTTGCAAACTCTTGTAGTTTGTCGTTAAGCACTTTTTTGAATGAGGCCAATGTACCTGCTTGACGCATTTCCATTGGTAGTTTATTCCATATCTGTGCATACCTAATCAAGTAAAACTTTTGCCTGGTGACTGTTTTACATTGTTCGATAGCTACTGTACCCTTAGTGTGTCTTAATTTGTAGTCATTGTCATCTGAAAATCGAGTGCCATTAGTAGAGGTAAAAACTAAGTGGTTTAGAAGCTTATAGTAAAGTGTCAAGTTTAGTTTCAGGAGTCTTAGCCATAGTGTTTCTAATCCTAGGGTGTCACATCTAGTGGACTAGTTCGCACCATTTTCGGTTCCGAGTAATTTTGACGTGAAGTACCTCTGCACTCCCTCGACTTCCGATTTGTCCTCTGTGCGTACACAGTTATACATGAATGAACAGTAATCAAATAAAGGACGCACACAAACCTTGTACATCAGAATTCTGGACTCATTTCTGTAGAAGTTCCTGAGAAGGAAGCCGATAAGTCCGCGTGACTTTGACACTTGTTTGGAGATATGTCCAGAAAATGGTAAGTCAGATGAGTATTTCAGTCTTAGGTCCAATACATATTGCAGTCGTAAATGTGCATGGCCTTGAATTGTCAGGTCAAGTTCTAAATTGTTGCAACCTATGCAGAGCCAGCCACATTTGTCGACATTAAACTGGAGTTGCCAGATGTCACACTATCTATCCATTTTTTCTAATTCTTGCTGTATGGCGTTTACTGTTATTCCGAGATCTGTGTTCTTGCATTTATAGGTCACTTTTAAGTCATCTGCATATAGTATTGGTTTACCAACACTAAAGCATTCACAGATACTGTTTATATATATTATGAATAGGAGTGGGCCTAATACACTTCCCTGAATTACACCACTACTTGCTGGTTTAGGCCTTGAGGTTATCAAGCCAACTTTTGTTATCTGATTCCCGTCACAGAGAAATGTTTTTATCCAGCTCAGGAGAGGGTCACATATCCCTAGTGAGCATAACCTGCTGACTAGCAGATTATAGGGGACTCTGTCGAAAGCTTTTGTTATATCGAAATATAGCACAATTACTAGTTCTCTGTTGTCCCTGCTTCGTGTAACTTCATTGAAAAAGTTTATGTGGCCGGTCACACATGATCTCTTTTTGAGGAATCCGTGTTGTGATGGAGTGATAAGTTCATGTTCCAGTAATTTGTCTGACACTTGGTCTTTAACCACTTTCTCAATTATTCATGATATTACCGGTGTTATATTAATAGGTCTATGGTTGCATGCACCGGTTTTGGCCACTGTTTTGTGCTAAGGTAATATGTATGTGGTTTTCCACACATCAGGGTAAGTTCCAGTTTCCAGTGACAGAGTAAATATTCTAAGTAAAATGACTACCATTTCCGTGCTACCATTTTTGTATATGACAGATGGTATGTCGTCTGTTCAAGTACTGCCAATTGACCTCAATGTCTTAATTGCTGAGTCTATATTTTGTATATTAAAGTGTATTTCTCCTAATTCGTGATTAATTTTGCAGGCAATTTGGAAATTTAGGGTCGGGTGCATTTGCATCATTTGTGTCTGCATGGCGGACCGTACACTTAAGTTCAGTAAAATGTTGAAAACTGTTTGTAAACCAGTTGCTTCTTTAATTCAGATCATGAATACTCATTTACAGCATGTTCGCCAGCGTCTTCAAATGGTAGAATTGGATCTTTCATGGGATTTGAGTGGTTATGAGTTAAACGGTCTGGAATTCAGCTTCATTTCGGTTTAGATGCAGGGTTGTTCGTTCTCGACCAGGAGATAAATAGAAGAGTATGCACAGCAGTAGAATACCAGAAATAGAAAGTATGTCAACATGAAAAATACATCAATGTTATATGCATATATAAATGTTTATGTCGATTGCATATTATACCATAGTAAACTTTTACCTATATTGTAGTTGTGTTTTCACGTATTTATGCTAAGTCTTAGAGTTTATTTAGTGTCAAAACATATATTAATGAGTATGAGCGTTTTAGTGTTCTAACAACTGATGCATTTGAGAAATAATTCATGGGTTCTGGTAGGGATAGTCATTGGGATGAAACAGTTTATACAGCAAGTGTTTGAAGGTTACAATAGAGTGACAGGTCCTATTTCTAGGAGTGAATTGTTCCTGTATGTCAGTGCTAAGTCTTCATGTATTCATGCTGCTAGTTTATTTATAGTTTTTAGATTGCTAAGGGTGTTGAAGTGCGTCCTTTAGGTGCTGTAGTAGACTAAAAGATGATTCGTTCTAGGAGTAAATAATTTATTATTATAATCTGTAGAGTGAAACAGTCTGTACAGAGAGCGTTTGAAGCTTGCAACCGAAGAGTGAGTTATGACATCTATAGGCAGGGCATTCCATATTATAGAATACATGACTGTGAAGAAGTTTTCACGGAGTGTTGACTTAATGGAATGAGTTGTCACCGTGCAAGTTTGGTTACGCAGATCGTAAGAACCTTCCTGTGCGAATTGTATGTCCCTGTTACCTGAGAATGATATTTCGTGAAGGACCTTAAAGAAGAATATTAGGTTTATAATAAGTCTCCTTGTCCAAAGTGGGTCTAGTTTTAGGATCATGCAGCGTGAGATGTAGTCTTTCATACAATCGTAGCCAAGTAGTTTTGAGGTAAAATATCGTTGGATGCTTTCCATCATTAGCTTGTCACGTGTGCGAGTGCTGCTTATAATAAATGGACAGTATTCTAGTAGTGGTCTGACACATGTTTTGTACAGAATTAGCTTGGCTTCATTGTCGTGAAAGCTATTGAGTATGAATCCTAAGAGCATCCTCGATTTCGTAGTCTGTGATGCTACCTGTTCAGAGAATGTCAAGTCACTAGAGAACCTCAGGCCTAGGTCAACGACACCTCGGGGTCTGGTTAAGTTAGCAGATTGGAGCGTTAATTTCAGGTCAGGTGAGGGTGGTCCGAGGCCTACTCAGCCACATTTGTTCAGATTAAATTGGAGGTTCCATAGGGACGACCAAGGAGTCATTTTATCTAATTCCTTTTGCACTACATTCTCGAAGTACCCTAAGTCATCACGTTGGAATGTATAAGCTACCTTTAGGTCATCTGCAAAGATGAATGGTTTCCTGTGCGTGAAGCAAGCGCATATGTCATTGATGTATTGCGTAAATAGGAGGGGTCCAATGACACTACCTTGTACAACACCAGAAGTGATAGGGCTAGGTTTGGAGGTTATAGACCCGAGTTTAACTATTTGGGACCTATTGTTAAGGAATGATTTAAGCCATCCTAATAACGGGTCACGTATTCCTAATCAGTTCAGCTTATTTGTTAGCAGTAAATGGTCAACACGGTCAAATGCTTTAGAAATATCAAAGTAGATGACAAGTACTAGTTGCCGTCTGTCACGACTGCTGGTTACAAAATTGAAGAAGTCTAGGTGACATGTTAAACATGATCTGGATTTCAGGAATCCATGTTGGTTCGGACTTATAATATTGCGGCTAGGCATATGTTTGATTAAGTTATCTTTAACTAGTCTCTAATAATAATAATAATATATATTCTTATTTTTTACATGAGGGACGCCAGTTTACAAGCATCATCAATTCGATAAGTTGCACATAATATTAATAAGCATATTTAGTAAAGATAATATGATAATGTACATTATTTCCTTAGCTATGTAGGGTACACCAATTGTATAGGCATGCATAAATATTGTTTTAATAATAATAATATATTCCTTCCTGTTTATGCAGGAACATACCTATTGTACAGGCATGGATAAGTTGTTATATAAATTACACATAATTCGATGTGTGACTGAATTACAGTTTTGTTGTTCTTTCTGACATTAGAGTCAGTCGGAGAAGTCTGCTATATAGTCTGTTTGTGTAGCACATAAAGAGATATAGAGATATTGTCTTCGGATTAACAAAAAACCCAGACATCAGATGAATGTAATACAGATATCTGGGAAAAATAAAGCTTGAAGTCAATTCTCTTACATAGCTTTGTTGTGAACAACATCCTTGGCTTAAAGATTATTGATGTATTATGTTGAGATCAGTGATATATTTATTCCATTTTTCAGCAGTCTTATCGTAGTTTCATAACAGGAAAGAAATTTGATCGTGGAGGCGAAAACTATATAAGGTCATTTTGGGTTGTATTACTGCATCAAATGGTGCCTAGGTCGATTCCAGAATTCTCCATTTTCTCCATTTGTGTCTGCATGGCGGACTGTATTCGTAAGTTCAGTAAAATGTTGAAAACTGTTTGAAAACCAGTTGCTTCTTCATTTCAGATCATGAATACTCATTTACAGCATGTTCGCCAGCGTCTTCAAATGGTAGAATTGGATAGTTTATGGAATTTGAGTGGTTATGAGGTAGACGGTTTGGAACTAATCATAGCAGTTAGAATACAGTTAAACATGGAGAGAAGTACTTTTGATTCAGCAACCGTTGAATTTTTTATTCTTTTCGATCTAGTACCAGAATAATTGCGGACCATTCCATTCAATATGTCGAATAAGCCACGCAGGAGTAGATCATTGCCATCAAATGAGTCAACTTGTTCTGAGATGCAGCTTTCAGCATGTTTTCGTTATATCATAATCTCCATAATTCCAGATGCTATAGGTGTGATATTGATCGGCCAGTAGTTACTGACTTCAGTTTTCGGGCCAGATTTGTGTTTAGGCATATTAAATGTTGTTTTCCATATATCAAAGTAAGTCTGAGTCTCCAGGGACATTGTGAATATTTTAAGAAGCGGTAGAGGAATGTCAAGGCCACCATATTTATAGAAATAAGATGATATACCGTCGGTACCGAAAGCCTTTGAACTTTTGAGGGTTCTTATAATTTGGTTATTGTTAGCGTAAGGGGCTTATATTGTGGCAGAAGATTAAGTCTAGTACGTTATTACCTCTTGTGGGAGTAGTGACAGTTTGTTTCCAGCCAAGTATATCCAGTGTGTCTAAGAACTTATCAAATTTAGTTGGGCCTGTGGGTATATCCCAGTTGATTTCAGGTATGTTAAAGTCCCCACATAGGATCTTATGGTCGTATTGTAAGTCGGATAATTGCTCCAGAGTATTGATAAGTTGGGTCTCGTAATTACTAAAGGTGCCAAGTGCTCTGTAGGTGCATCCAATTAATGCTGTTACGTTATTTAAGTGTACATTAACCCATAGAGTCTCTGGCATGTTAAGTGTACTACTTTCTAGCTGTGATACAGTAAGTGCATTCAGAAATTACATGAGACAACCCCCTCCCTTACCACCTTCCCTGTCACACCGAAAGTGTGTGTAGTTATCTAAGCTTATTTCTTCATCCAGGATGTTCGAATGACACCAAGATTCAGTGATGACAATTACAGGGGGTTTGTATATTACTGTGAGTGCTCTGAGCATCGGCAGTTTATTTAGAACAGATCTAGCGTTTATGAGGATTAGGTAAAGATGAGAGTTGAAGTAGCATTTGAAGTATTTAAGTTCGTTAGTCAGACCCGGATACGGTTCAGCACCCAGTATTTCTGCTTGACATGATGATCCTGTGTTTAGAGGAGTTTCAGCATCACGCTCACCAATGTCTATCGAGTTGGTGTGTGCTGTTTCCGGTGAAGAATTAGGAGTTGGAGTACTGGATTTGCTACAAGCTAAGACACTTTCATTTTTAGTTAGGTTACAGAAGTGGGTAGGGTTCTTTATTTGACCTATATTTGTGCAAGTGTCAAGTGTGCTTAATGGATACGGATGCACTAGACCGTTCCTGTTTTCATGCAAGGAGGGGGGCAGCTCTAGTGGTTTAGAAGCGTCAACATCCCTACCAGCTGTTTTTTCAAGGCTGACAGGGACGCGGGGGATAAAAAATGATTGGATCCTTGTGATGACCATGGCTTATTATTCCACCTATTGTTTGATGCTAGTTGTGTCCTTGTGTGGGTTTCGTGTGTACTGCACTGCGGGTTAATTCCCAACAGACTTGTACCATATATCCGGTGAAAATTTGTTTGTGTGCCATACTCTGAAGACCCTGAGTTGTTGGTAGCCGAGTTCTGACTATTACCACTTGTGCTATTGAGGGTGACATTGTTGTGACATTGGATATTAGTGTGTACCGTGGTGCGATTTCGCACGTTGTGAGTGCTAATACTATTGACCGTGGGAAGTGTGGGCTTATTTAAGCTGCCGCTGTTTTTGTTGGCATGATTTAGAGGCATATTTTCCTTACCTTCAGCAATGAAGTTATGGCTAGGAGAGGACAATGTCGAATTTCGGGGGTTTTGACTTTTTTCTGGGGTTATTTAGTGGAATTTTAGATTCTGCTGTGATAGATGGTACGGTTTATTATTTATTTGGTTACAGTCTAGTGGCCTTTCGGCTGGTGTTGCACTCAGATGGGATAATTCTGTGTGTTTTGAGAGGGGTGATGCGGTGGGTCTACTGTATCTTTCACAGGGTTGGGAATAATGGCTGCGTGCAATGTCCTATTACTTATTTCACAATTAGGCTTAGAGAGATAATTATATGCACGCCTTTCTATGACAGTTTTGTCCACCCCGACGATTACAGTTTTATAGGTTCTGGCTTGCGATAATGTGTGTTGGGAGTGCATAAATTTTCTGGTTTTCCTTATAATAGTAATAGTAATATTTTTTATTTTCATATATACATAAATTTACATGAAAGTGCATGCCATTTTTACAGGCACGATCTAGTATGCTATAATGTCAAATCTTAAATTGTCTACCAGTTTATAATGTTTCAACAGTTGAATATTTGATATATATATATATATAAATTACACTCATTGTCTGAACCAGGACGTATAGTTATTGAATTGTACAGTTGTCCTCCAGGTTGAGCGGGAAAATCGACTTCGTTTCGTTTTCATCCCGTGGTTGTAGGCATACGATAACCAACAAAAATTGAGGTAAGTACAAAGTTTACAAGGGATTGAGAGCTGTTTTAGAAAAGTTAAAGTGCTAAGGTGAATCATTGAAGTGTAATAAATTAAGTAAGTGCAATATATCGTTAATAAATACATTTATATATGAAACAGAATGGGTAAGTAATTAATCCTTAGGCCGACAACATTCATTTGCAATGTATAATAAAACCAATATATTTCGCACTATTGTGATATCCACTTTTGGCTTTAATACAATTATTTTCAAGCCAGTTGTTTTTATTTCTTGCTTTTTTGTCTGTTTGATGCACAACCGTACCCTACAGAGATTAGCAGAGGAATAAGTCGAATCAAATTCATAAAGATCTATAAAATGTTAGGTTTAATGAAATATAATGAGGATTAAGTTAAGACTTTATTAGAAAATAAATGAGATAAGACATTATGATGTGGTATTCGGAGATACGACAATGGATAGCAAGTTAATTTATAAGATGCCCCATAAATCTGCGCGGAGCTCACTTGGTCGAATCTCAACAATAGGCTGAGCGAATGGTTTATATTTAGAGGTAGAAGCATGATCTGTCAAGGCGTTCATTATTATCTTTTTCAAGATGAAGATCTAAGCCCTCAACAAAATCAGAAATATCTCGAGCCGTCAATTTGCATGTTGCTGTTTCTACAGAATGGGGTGATTCACCTTAGTGACCACCATCTAGCGTCACCCTCCCTCCTTCCTTGATATTAGGCTCTGAGTCTATGATTATTATGGCTACCAGAAATATATTGCTTGTTACCAGACATGTTCGTACCCTATATTCCATCTCCCCAGCTTTCTTAATGAGTGCTTCCAATAGGTCTCCACGTACATCTTTATGAACATATTATATATGTGTGCATGCATCCTAATGAACAGATTACTTTATAAAAAGCTAAAAACTTAAAGAGTAAAACGAATAGGTTTTGTGAATAGTGGAGCAAGATTCAGCAGAACACTATAGTTAGGGTTCATTGTAGGTAGTATGAACTGAAGGTGAGTTCGGTTGGCAGGACTTAGTGTACTAATATATAGTAAACATCTGACATTGCAAAGTAACGTGTCTAGATATATTATAAAAAGATATTAACACAGAACCAACAAAATTTTGGCATTTGGCTAGCAATACTGCAGTGTGTGTAAACTGAAGAATGGCAGTTAGTCTACAGGGAGCCGTAGAGTAAATCAATCCATATATGGTAAGAGTTTAATCAGTATTATAATTCGTATATCAAATAATACACTATGCTCATTAATTGAGTGTTATAAGGTAAACGAGCGTGGTAAAGCAAGGGAACATTTGATGTATAAATATTTTAATCATTTTAAGTATTTTAATAACAATCTAATTTTAAGAATTGAACATGCATGATTAATAAGTATTATCATATTTGTATATACGTATGTAAAATGTTGAAAGGTGTGGATGCTATTATAATTATTTCCAGTGTTATTTTTACCAACAGAACTTATTGAAAATTATAGAGAATAGAAATCAGTTAGTTAGTTAACGTTCGCTGCGTGAGTATTAGAGTCGAGATATACGTATGTGTCTATACTGAAGACTGGACTGGCCGTCAATTTCCACTCTACCAACAGTTGTGTTCTTTTAGACGAGCTAGCGTGGACATGTTAAAGTGTCTTTCAAGGCTCCGTTTGAACCCTTCGGGGTTTTCACAACATCTTGTTTCAGGTGGTAGTTGGTTCCGAAGAGTGCAATATTTTATGGTGAATAAGTTTGCCCTAATGGATTTTCTGTGGGCAGCCACCTTGACAAGGTAGTCGTGGTTTCGCAGCTGATATCATTTAATATTTTCCCACGTTGTGGATGAGTTACTGTATCAATGATTCCTGATGACTTTGAAGGGTAGAAATAAGTTGCACTTCACTCTCCTTAACCACAGAGGCTCTAGTTTCAGACGTACACATCTGTCAACATATTCCACTTGTTGGTCGAACCCTACTATGCGTTTCGTGAGGAATCTCTGGAGACTTTCGATTTTTTTCTGTCTACAGACTTGAGGTTACTAAATGGGAGAGCACAGTATTCAAGTTTGGGACGGATACATGTCCTATATACAGCTAATCTTGCTTCTTGGGTGTAGAAGTTACGCAGTACAAAGCCAGTAAGTCGTTTACGGTCAGATACAACCTTATTTGCATGATCGGAAAAGGATAAATCTGAGGATGTTATCCCGAGATCTGTGACTGTGTTCAGTTTTGAGAGGAGCTCACCGTACATATATAGGCACATTTTCGGTTTCCAGCGTCCAAGGCGGTTTATACCGCACTTGTCCGGGTTGAAAGTCGGTTGCCACTTTGCGCTCCAATCGCCTAGATAGTTTAAGTCTTGTTGGATCTTGCTTTCGTCGCTCATATCCCTGTACCCAACTCAGCAACAGTATCTAGACAAAGGGTAACATTCCTGTAAAATAGGGACACTCAAGTCTCCAGGAAGTCATGGGTAAAATAATCATCCCATTGACAGAGTCGAATAAGTTCTTGGACTAACCCCCAGTCTGTATATTTGTAACTACGACATATCATGCTCTAAGAATCTTGCTTGTTTCCTTTATTTAGTAGTGAGAAAGGCAGAGAGCAGAGTACCATTCTACGGTCACTACTGGAAAATCTATTACCAACATACGTGGATGTTGGGATTGTGTCATGACAAAATACAAGGTCCAACATGTTGTCACCACGAGTAGGTGTCTGGACGTGTTGTTGCCATCCCTAATAGTCGATAAGTACAAACTTCTCATAGGCTGTGTTTATCGAGCACCAAGCTCAACAAAAGAAACTGATGCGTTATTAGCTAAATCGTTTGCACACGCATCCTCGTTTAGTGCTAATTACATTATAATTGCGGGGGACTTCAATCTTCCAGAAGTCAATTGGTTAAGTAGTTCCGGGTTCCAACGCTTCGACGAATTACTTGCCACTATCGACTATTATGGATGGCAACAACACGACAACAGACCTACTCGTGGTGACAACATGTTGGACCTTGTATTTTGTCATGACACAAGCCCAACATCCACGTATGTTGGTAATAGATTTTCCAGTAGCGACCGTAGAATGGTACTCTGCTCTCTGCCTTTCTCACTACTAAATACAGGAAACAAGCAAGATTCTTGGAGCATGATATGTCGTAGTTACAAATATACAGACTGGGGGTTAGTCCAAGAACTTATTCGACTCTGTCAATGGGATGATTATTTTACCCTTGACTTCCTGGAGACTTGAGTGTCCCTATTTTACAGGAATGTTACCCTTTGTCTAGATACTGTTGCTCCAAAGAAAATAGTGAAATTAAGTAGACACCGAACTGAATATATTCCAAGGGCACACCGCAATAAGTTAAGGAAGTTGAAGAAACAGTACTATTCCACTAAGGACATATCACTACTGCTCACAATCCACGAGTCTCTTGAATCTATCAAGCGCCTACGCTCTCGAAAGGACCTCGAGGAAGAGCTAACGGCACTTGAAAGTACCTCCAAAGTTTATAACTTAACGGCACTTCTTAAAAAACGAATGCAGTCGGCGAGGGAAATCCCATACTTACTTCACGACAAAGTAATCTACAATGAACCTGCCACTATCTGTGAACTCTTCAGTGATTGGTTTGCAAACTTTAGTTTAGAAACACATATGCCTGGTGAAATAGCCCCCGTTACTAGCTCTTCCCTTGAAAGCATTGTGTTCACTAATCAGTTAATAGTACAAGCAATTAAAAGCCTTAAACCTTCCACTAGTACGGGACCGGATGGCCTAGCTTCGATAATTTTCAAAAACAGTGGGTGTGATATACCCTTGTTACTTCTTAAATTCTTCTCAATATCTATGGACACTGGCACTTACCCTAGTGAGTGGAAAACTAGCTTCATAATTCCACATTACAAATCTGGTGATAGGGCAAACGTCCGCAATTACAGACCCATAAATATAACCCCAGTTATCTCACGAATCATGGAGAAAGTTGTAAAAGATCAATTGTCAGACTACCTAATTA